ATCCCGCCGGCTTTGAAGCCGCCAGGGCCGGGGAGAAAATTTCAGGAGTCTCTAATTAAGGCTTGGAAGGGCTCAGTGGGCGGCTGGGAGCGCCGGCTCCGTCCCACTCCGTGTTTGCTTTGGCTCCTTCGCCTCCTGCAATCGTCTCCAGGTCTGCTCGGGGAGCTGGGAGCTGCCCCCGGTGCCCTGAGTCAGCGGCGGGAGGGGACAGCAGTGTCACCTCCACAGGGTGTCACAGAGGGGACAGGCTGGGCGGGAGTGACAGCAGTGTCACCTCCACGGGGCTGTCACAGAGGGACAGGCTGGGGCGGGAGGTGACAGCAGTGTCACCTCCACAGGGCTGGCTGTCACAGAGGGACAGGCTGGACAGGAGGTGACAGCAGTGTCACCTCCACGGGGCTGTCACAAAAGGGACAGGCTGGACAGGAGGTGACAGCAGTGTCACCTCCACGGGGCTGTCACAGAGGGGACAGGCTGGGCGGGAGTGACAGCAGTGTCACCTCCACAGGGTGTCACAGAGGGGACAGGCTGGGCGGGAGGTGACAGCAGTGACACCTCCACGGGGCTGTCACAGAGGGACAGGCTGGTCGGGAGGTGACAGCAGTGTCACCTCCACGGGGCTGTCACAGAGGGGACAGGTTGGGCACGAGGTGACAGCAGTGTCACCTCCACGGGGCTGTCACAAAAGGGACAGGCTGGGCGGGAGTGACAGCAGTGTCACCTCCACGGGGCTGTCACAGAGGGGACAGGCTGGACGGGAGGGGACAGCAGTGTCACCTCCACAGGGCTGTCACAGAGGGGACAGGCTGGGCGGGAGTGACAGCAGTGTCACCTCCACGGGGCTGTCACAGAGGGGACAGGCTGGGCGGGAGGTGACAGCAGTGTCACCTCCACAGGGCTGGCTGTCACAGAGGGGACAGGCTGGGCAGAGGTGACAGCAGTGTCACCTCCACAGGGCTGGCTGTCACAGAGGGACAGGCTGGGCACGAGGGGACAGCAGTGTCACCTCCACAGGGCTGTCACAGAGGGGACAGGCTGGGAATGGTGTCTGGCCAAGGGTGTGGCCAGAGCTGCTCCAGGGACAGGGGGGATTGTTTTGGTCTCACGGACAAAATCCTTCAGTTCCTGCTGTGAAAATGAGAGGAACGGGGTGCAGGGCCTGTCAGGGCACTGTGGGGCTGCAGGGACATGACCCCACAGAGACAGCACCCCATGGGCAGAATGGACCTGGCCCCATGGGCAGGGTGGACATGATCCCATAGAAAGGTTGGACCTGATCCCATGGGCTGGGTGGATCCCATAGAAAGGTTGGATGTGACCCCACAGAGACAGGACCCCATGGGCAGGAGGGACACGACCCCATGGGAAGGTTGGGTGCAAATCCTATGGGGGGCTTAGACACAAATCCCATGGGAAGGTTGGACGTGATCCCATGGGACACAAATCCCATGGGCAGGTTGGATGCAAATCCAATGGGCAGGATGGACATGGCCCCATGGGGATGGTGGACATGATCCCATGGGCAGGTCAGACAAAAATCCCATGGGAAGGTTGGACATAAATCCCATGGGAAGGTTGGACATGAGTCCCATGGGAAGGTTGGACATAAATCCCATGGGAAGGTTGGACGTGATCCCATGGGAAGGTTGGATGTGATCCCATGGGAAGGTTGGATATAAATCCCATGGACACAACCCTATGGGAAGATTGGACATAAATTCCCTGGGAAGGTTGGACATAAATCCTATTGGAAGGTTGGATGTAAATCCTATGGGAAGTTTGGACACAAATCCCATAGGAATGTTGGCTATAAATCCCATGGACACAGCCCCACGGGCAGCTCTGGCACGTGCCAGTGTCACCTGCCCGGGTGCCAGGGACACCAAAGCCACCAGGGCTGGCCCAGACGGGTCCAGGAGCCCCCAGAGCCCCCCTGGGTGCCCGGGCAGAACCTCCCTCCCTTTCCCAGAACCAGGAGGATTTTTCCTTGGATCAGAACCTCCATCCCTTTCCCAGAACCAGGAGGATTTTTCCTTGGATCAGAACCTCCCTCCCTTTCCCAGAACCAGGAGGATTTTTCCTTGGATCAGAACCTCCCTCCCTTTCCCAGAACCAGGAGGATTTTTCTGCTCTCCTCAGCAGAGTTTTTAACAGAACTCCCTGGAAAGGGGATCCCGAGGGCTCGTTCTGGGAAAAGGGAACTTGAAACAACCTCAGGAAACTCAGTGGGGCCAGCAGAGCTCCCTGGGGACACGTCACACCCCGGGGTGGCCTTGGGGACAACAGAATTTTTAATTTTTTTTTGTGCTTTCTGACACTGATCCCCCCAGCAGAGCACTGCTCTAGACTCGAGGCCTTGGAGAAAACCTCCAAAATTCGAGTGCTGGAGTTAAAAATCACGAGTGTGTTGTTGAAATAAAGGGTTTGGAATATGGGGGTTTTAATATAGAGTGATATATTAAAATATATAGTAATGTATTAAATATATTAAATAGGTTAAGTATGTTAAATATGT